GGGGTCACTGGGGCCATGAACATGGCCAAAGGCACAGTACAGACCGGCCTGGACACCACCAAGACAGTGCTGACAGGAACCAAGGACACCATGGCTGCTGGGGTCACTGGGGCCGTGAACGTGGCCAAAGGGACAGTACAGACCGGCCTGGACACCACTAAGACTGTCCTGACCGGAACCAAGGACACTGTATGCAGTGGGGTCAGTGGGGCAGCAAACATGGCCAAAGGGGCCATCCAGGGAGGGCTAGACACCACCAAGTCAGTCCTCACAGGCACCAAGGACACCATGGCTGCTGGGGTCACTGGGGCCATGAATGTAGCCAAAGGGACAGTGCAGACTGGCCTGGACACCACCAAGACCGTGCTGACCGGAACCAAGGACACCGTGGCCGCTGGGGTGACCGGAGCCATGGGCATGGCCAAAGGTGCCATCCACGGGGGCCTGGACACCACCAAGTCAGTCCTCATGGGCACCAAGGACACCATGACTGCGGGGGCCACTGGAGCCATGAATGTAGCCAAAGGGACAGTGCAGACTGGCCTGGACACCACCAAGACTGTCCTGACCGGAACCAAGGACACCATGGCCGCTGGGGTCACTGGGGCCATTAACGTGGCCAAAGGCACAGTACAGTCCGGCCTGGACACCACCAAGACTGTCCTGACCGGAACCAAGGACACTGTGGCCGCTGGGGTCACTGGGGCCATGAATGTGGCCAAAGGGACAGTGCAGACCAGCCTGGACACCACCAAGACTGTCCTGACCGGAACTAAGGACACCATGGCTGCTGGGGTCACTGGGGCTGTGAATATGGCCAAAGGGGTCGTTCACACTGGATTGGACACCTCCAAGAAGGTCCTCACAGGTACCAAAGACACAGTGGCCACTGGAGTGACTGGGGCCCTGGGCATGGCCAAGGGAGCTGTCCATGGGGGTCTGGACACCACGAAGACAGTGTTGACCGGAACCAAGGACACCATGGCTGCCGGGGTCACTGGGGCCATGAATGCGGCCAAAGGGACAGTGCAGACCGGCTTGGACACCACCAAGACTGTCTTGACTGGAACGAAGGACACCATGGCTGCCGGGGTCACTGGGGCCATGAACATGGCCAAAGGAACAGTACAGACTGGCCTGGACACCACCAAGACCGTGCTGACTGGAACCAAGGACACCGTGACCACTGGGGTGACCGGGGCCACGGGCATGGCCAAAGGTGCCATCCATGGGGGCCTGGACACCACCAAGTCAGTCCTCATGGGCACCAAGGACACTATGACTGCCGGGGTCACTGGGGCCATGAATGTGGCCAAAGGCACAATGCAGACCGGCCTGGACACCACCAAAACCATCCTGACCGGAACCAAGGACACCATGGCCGCTGGGGTCACTGGGGCCGTGAATGTAGCCAAAGGGACAGTACAGACCGGCCTGGACGCCACTAAGACTGTGCTGACAGGAACCAAGAACACTGTGGCTGCCGGGGTTACAGGGGCCGTGAATGTGGCCAAAGGGACAGTGCAGACCGGCCTGGACACCACCAAGACTGTCCTGACCGGAACCAAGGACACCATGGCCGCTGGGGTGACCGGGGCCATGGGCATGGCCAAAGGTGCCATCCACGGGGGCCTGGACACCACCAAGTCAGTCCTCATGGGCACCAAGGACACTGTGACCACTGGGGTCACTGGGGCCATGAATGTGGCCAAAGGGACAGTACAGACTGGCTTTGATACCACCAAGACTGTCCTGACCGGAACCAAGGACACTGTGGCTGCTGGGGTCACTGGGGCTGTGAACATGGCCAAAGGGACAGTGCAGACTGGCCTAGACACCACCAAGACCGTGCTGACCGGAACCAAGGACACTGTATACAGTGGGGTCAGTGGGGCAGCAAACATGGCCAAAGGGACAGTACAGACTGGCTTTGATACCACCAAGACCGTGCTGACCGGAACCAAGGACACTGTGGCTGCTGGGGTCACTGGAGCTGTGAATGTCACCAAAGGGGTAGTTCAGACTGGACTGGACACCACCAAGAAGGTCCTCACAGGTACCAAAGACACAGTGGCCACAGGGGTCACCGGAGCCCTGGGCATGGCCAAGGGAGCTGTCCATGGGGGTCTGGACACCACCAAGACAGTGTTGACCGGAACCAAGGACACCATAGCTGCCGGGGTCACTGGGGCCATGAATGTGGCCAAAGGGACAGTGCAGACTGGCCTGGACACCACCAAGACAGTGCTGACTGGAACCAAGGACACCATGGCTGCTGGGGTGACCGGGGCCATGGGCATGGCCAAAGGTGCCATCCATGGGGGCCTGGACACCACCAAGTCAGTCCTCATGGGCACTAAGGACACAGTGGCCACGGGGGTCACTGGAGCCCTGAGCATGGCCAAGGGAGCTGTCCATGGGGGCATTGACACCACCAAGACCGTGCTGACCGGAACCAAGGACACCATGGCCGCTGGGGTGACCGGGGCCATGGGCATGGCCAAAGGTGCCATCCACGTGGGCCTGGACACCACCAAGTCAGTCTTCATGGGCACCAAGGACACCATGACTGCGGGGGTTACTGGGGCCATGAATGTGGCCAAAGGGACAGTGGAGACCGGCCTGGACACCACCAAGACCATGCTCATTGGAACCAAAGACACTGTGTGCCGTGGGGTGACCAGGGTCACAAACATGGCCACAGGGGCTGTCCAGGGAGGGCTGGACACCAGCACGTCCTCTGTCTCTGGTGCCGTAGGCCTCATTGGTGCAGGGGCTATGGCTGCGGAAGCCATCCACAGTGCTGCCAGCACTGTGTACAGCTCCACGCCTGGAACCCAGGACAGGGCCTGGGCCAGCGCCACACCTTCCGGAGGCACATCCTCTGTGGTCTCCAGCATCCCTCGGAGCCCTGTCCCTGATGCAGCGTCCCTCAGCCACAGGGCTGCCTCGGACGCGGAGAACCTGGTGTCTGCGGCCACCATGCTTAGCCCCAGCGGCACCTCAGGGACCGCCACACCGCTGGACGAGCTGGAGATGTTCGCGCCACTGAGCGTCGAGGAGCAAGGTGGGCACAGGCTCAGTGTGCAGGCCGCACGAGGCCCAGGGGCGAGGGGCACCCTCTGTTTGACTGACGTTCCCACTTCCTTCCAGTTCAGCTGGCTGCCTCCCAGCCTGGACCCAAGGTGCTCTCGGCTGACCAGGGCAGCTACTTCGTCCGCCTTGGGGACGTGGCGGCTGCATTCCGCCAGCGGGTGTTCGAGCACGCCCTGAGCCACCTGCAGCACAGCCAGTTCCAAGCCAGGGATGCCATGGCCCAGCTCCAGGACGCCCTCCAGCAGGTAGGGCACATCCGGCCCACAGCTGCCCACAGCTCCCCGAGCTGGGACTGAGAAAAGATTGGTGTGGAAAGGGACTCAGGGCAGGGCTGGTCATCTCCCAGACATGTCCTGACCCACAAGCAGGCAGGGGTGTGGGAGGGAGTGGAGGCGGCCAGGGAAAGGACAGCCCAGGTGGGGACCCTACTCCCCACATGGCCAGGGACAGCAGGGGTGGCTGGACAAGGAAACCCATGACTGCTATGAATGAGGGACCAGCTAGAGGTGACCGTACCCTATCCAGAGGACAGACGTCTCACACCCACTCCCCCCAGCTCGACTCAGCCTCAGGTATTACTGATGTGGGGGTCCGGATCCTTCTCTGGGGTATTGGGGAGTCCCCAGCACTGCTGAGGTGCGGTTGGATCCTTCTCTAGAGTGGCACAGTCTGGGCACTGCTGACATGGGGCTGAGTCCTTCTCTGGTGGGCGGGGTCTGCGCACTGCTGACACGGTGGTCCAGATCCTTCTGTAGGGGTGTCCTAGGCACTGCTGATGTAGGAGTCTGAATCTTTCTCTTGGGGGGGGGTGCCTTGGGCACTGCTGATGTGAGGCCACATTGTTCTTTGGGGGGCAACCCAGGCACTATAGGGTATTGAGTGCTGTCCCTGGTCCCCACCCCTTGAAGCGAGTAGCACGAGACCACAGTGTCCCGAGGGGCAGCATCACCCTCTGGGTTGGGGATCCCAGTCATCTGATCCGATGTCCACACCGAGTGAGGGGGATAGAGAAGAGGGGCTGCAGACGCCAGAGGGTCTCCAGAGGGTCTTCCGGATTGAAAGCAGCTGACCCAGCAGTTTATGCTGGTACACGATGTGATTATCTGGTACACGGCGTGATTATCTGGGGCACTGGCTTTCATGGTTCAGGGGCAGAATTCTCGCCTTCTGTGTGGGAGACCCAGGTTCAAGTCCCACCTGAGGCCACCACTGTTAGTGGACGATGTTAAATACGGTTCAGAGGAAGAAAATATTGAGATTGGCTTCCGAAACGAGTCAGTGAAGACCCTCCACACCAGTCGTCCCGTCTGAGGGGTCGTGGGGCGGGCAGTGTTTGCTCTGCTAGAGCTGAAGTGGGTCGAGGCCAACCAATGGCTCCAAACAGCAGCACATGAGACGAGTCCCCCACGGTGCAACTGATTCTTCACTTCCTGCGCCTCATGCAGTTCTCCAGGGACCCAGCGAGCCCCTAAGTGCCACCTCCTCTGGGCCGTGGGAGAGGGTCCCTGACCACACTGGGGCCTCTCGTTACAGATTGAAAAGTCGGAGCAGCTGTGGTTGGAGCAGGGCTCAAACATCGGAGCGGAGAGATCCCGTGTCCAAGAGGTGTGTGCGGTGGGGCCGGGGTGTCCTGTGTGTGCCACTCCCACTCACCATGTCCCTTCCCCCCACAGGTGGACGACACTGCGGCACTGTCCCGGGTCCAGGGGCTCATCCACCAGCTGCACGTGGCCTACAGTGGCCTGGCCTCAGCTCTGCAGGGCATGCCGGAGGAGGCCCAGCGGCAGGTGGCACGGGCACGCCACAGCCTGTGTGAGCTGTACAGCGTGGTGGCCGCGGCCCCTGCTCCCCGCGAGCTGCTGGCCCAGAGCCGCGAGGGGGTGCGCCAGGCATGGCAGGGGCTGGAGCAGGTGCTGGACCAGGTGCCACACGGCCCCCCGCTCGGCTGGCTGGTAGGGCCCTTCACGCTGACCCCAGGGGGACAGCAGCTGTAGACGCTGTGGACAGTGAGGGGGCGCCCTCCATCCGCCAGAACCTCCCTCGTCTGGGGCCCCAAGGAACTAGCACCTCAAACCCAAACTCTTCAGCTCCACAGGCTGGCAGTGACCAGGAGAGGGCCAGGACCGAGGACCAGGATGTGAGGATGTGGCTTGTGACCGGACTGTGCTTCTCCCCTGCTCGGCTTGCCTCTCCTGCCCTCTCCTCAGGGTCTAGAAGGTCGGGGTGCGGGGTCTCTCCTGGGAGACTGTGAGCGAGTGCCCCTCACCACATAACCACGCCAGATGCCACCGAGTCGACCCCAGCTCACCATGATCCATGAACAGTGCTCCAGGCCGGTCCCACGTTATCCTCCGTCCACTGAGCCCATGGCGATGTGCGCGGACAGCCTTCCAACCTGGGCTCACCTCCCAGCACCGTCTCGGAAAGGACGATGTTCCGTGGGGATCCCCGGCGTTTTCCGTAGCTGCCGTGAAGTCAGCCGCCAGCTCTTTCTCCCTAGTCTCGCTGAGAAGTCCCACTGAACCTTGTGCACGGCAGGCGACCCTGATGTTTAACTGATACCAGTAGCATAATGTCCTAGGGAGCTCTGTGGCCTAGCGGTAAGAAACTGCGCTGTGTCCCAAAGGAACACGGTTTGAATCCACCCACTGCTCCACAAAAGAAAGACGGGCAGTCTCCTTCCCACCCCTACGCCTCTGAAAAGCCACTCGTGGGTCAGGTACAGGTTGGTTCCAACTCCACGTTACTCAACAGCATAACATCCAACATCCAGCAACATGCAGGTTGCCCTCGTGACCCACTGGAGGACAGGTGGTGGTCACACACGCCAGGAACCCGGAGGCCCCCTGGAGACTGAGCTCCAGGCCCACCGGGGCACAGTGCCATCCTCCATACACACTTCCTGGATGTCCAGAACCATGGGCCCCGGGGCGGGCTCCTCCATCCAGATGACAACGCAGCCACGGCCACCATGGGGCCCTGACCTGAGGATGGTGGACCGCAAGTCCCAGGCCCACCCGGCTGCAGAGGAGCAGAGAAGGGGACAGGGCCCTCGCAAAAGCTGGCACTGGAAGGCATTTCATCCTGCTCCGAACTGCTCCCGGCACCCTGCCCACCAGGGTCTGCAGAGCCCACCACGTTGACGAGGATTTATGGGGAACCTCTCTCCAGCTGCATGGCTCCAGGGTGTTCAGCTGAGGCAAAGAAGCCATCAGAAACCGAGAGGCAGTGATGGGGGACTCAAGAGGCACGATCCGGGGTCCCCTCCTCTAATCACCTCTCCCATCAGCCACTTGGGCCAAGAACCCAAAATGCCCCTGAATCCGACCCTGCTGACCAGCGGCAGCCTGCCATCTTCCACCAGTGGCCTGAGCCATCCCCACCGAGCCCCTCAAATGAACCAGCCACTCCCCTCCTGAGGGCACAGGTAGGTGGGCTCGCTTATCCCAAAGGGGATGACAGGAGCATCAGCTGAGCTGGCATCTGCCTGTGACGTGACAGAAGCTTCTAGAGTGCTCTGCATCTGATCCCTCACCACCACCAGACTGTGAGCCTGGAAGCCACCACTGGGGCGATTCCTACAGACACACAGCTAGGAGGGCAGATGTGGCCACCTCAGGTGCCCCCAGACGTGGGGCAAGGGACAAGAGCTGAATACAGAGCCACGCCACAGCCTCATTCACAGACAATAGACACAAGGCCCAGTGGAGGGGCACTTGTCCGGGACCCAGGTCAAGCCAATAATCACTCACATCTGAGCACCAGTGAGAAGGGACGCCCCACTGCCCACTCTCGATCCCTGGGAGCCTGTGTGGGGTAGGGAGCTGGTGACGTCAGGGAGGGAGGCGCCATCTGCCCTCTGGATCCTCTGTTCCTGCTCCCTACCCCAGGCCGGGGCTGCCGCCTCCAGGGAGCCCTTCCAGCCTGCACAAGAGCCAAAGCATCTGGAGAATCCCTTCTCTCCTCCAGCACCTCTGGGCAGAGTGGGGACACCATGCTCACTGCCAACCCTGGCCTTGGCTCGTTCCTTGTCCCCAGACATGGAAAGCAGCACTCAGCGTCCCAGCAGCACAAGTGACACTAGAAAACCAAGCCACTAAAACGGATCTTCTCTTTTTCATTAAAAAACCCTTTATGTTCATTTCATGTCGGTTTGAAATCACAGAAACTAGGCAGAAAACCCCAATGGGACAGATACAAAGGACCAAGTGCCACAAGATGCCACAAGTTCTCTGCTCTCCTGGGCGCAGGGGAAGGGCAGCAGCCTGGAGGTCTAGGCGGTGCGTCTGCTCAGCTGTCCTCGTCCAGGGACTCTGAGTCCATCTGGGCCCGCTCACGCTCTGGCCGCTCATTCCCGGGCCTGTCAGGGTCAGGTCCCTCCCGAAGGCTGCAGGAGACACGTGGGGGTGAGAAGCCTGTCCAGGGCCACCCCTGCATCATAGGGCTCAAGGGAGGGGGGCTGTGCTTTAGTTTGCGTCCTATCTGGGAGACTGCAAGTGCAGGGATGGAGGGGAGACCAGCCCTGGAGCCCCACGTTAGCCCCAGAACATCCTAGTGCCCGGAGCCCCACATGAGCCCGAGAGCCTCACGCCATCCCAGAACCACCCAGTGCCCGGAGCCCCACGGCAGCCCTGCCCAGTATCAGGAGGCCCACGTGAGCCCCAGAGCCTCACACCAGCCCCAGAACCACCCAGGGCTCCACCCAGCCCTGGAGCCCCACTCCAGGCCAGAAACGCCCAGAGCCCCACCCAGCCCCAGAAACTCCCACCAGCCCCAGAACCACCCAGGGCTCAGAACCCCACACAGCCCGGAGCCCCACACCAGCCCTGAAAACCTACACCAGCCCTGGAACGGCTTACTATCCAGAGCCCCACGCCAGCGCCAGAGTCCCCCATCAGCCCTAGAACTGCTCAGCACACAGTGCCCCACGCCCTCCTCAAGCCCTCAGCACCCCGCCTTCCCCAGCACAGCTTGCCACTCAGCCAACCCCCAGAAGGCCCTGCCCAGGAGCTCCAGGGGTCAGGGGGCTGCTTTATTTGGGCCTGAGCCCAAAGTGGGCTCAGTGGGGCAACAGGGACTGCTGGCTGCCTGGTCTGGGACGGTCCTGGGACAGACGAGGGACACGTACTCATCGTGCAGGTCTTCGGAGGAATCACCCCGGGGGCCCTCCTCAGAGTTCTGGGCGTCCTCCTGCTCCCGCTCGCCCACGCCCTCGGCGTTCTGTGACAAGGCCTCGCCATTCACTGGGGCAGCTGGGTCTGGGCGGAGAAAGGGTCACAAGACACTGCGGGCTGTGGTCACAGCCACCAGGGGCTTAGCCTGCCAGGCTGGGGACAGGGGGCTCTGAAGGATCTTCCTGAAGGGCCTCCAGAGCCAGTGCACACGGTGAACTCCTGCCTGCAGAAGCCTGGCAGGTTGGTGGGGACAGAGATGCCACGGCCGCCAAGGTGAAGCCGAGGCCACCCTAGGCAGAGCTGGCCACATCACCACCCTGCAGGGCCGCTCAGGAGGCCCCTTCTCCGTCAGCCCCTCCTGGCCCGCAGGCCTCACCCCTGGCTCTCGGGAGGCCCCTATGAGGCTGAGCACTTGCCACACAGTGGGGCTGTGTGCCTGGTGACCCCCGGCCCCCAAGGACCCTTCCACGGGCACTGTAGGGTGCAGGCTCTCACCGGCGCGTGGCTCGTCCTCCACCTTCTCCTTGGCCGCCTCCTCTGTCGCCAGCCCCTCCTCAACCCGCTCCGCCTCAGCCTTGTCCTTCTCGGCCCTCGTCCGGCTGGCCCTCTGGATGGCTTCGATCTTGGGGCCCAGCACTCGAGACTTGAGTCGTGTGTAGACCTCCGCGGCCTTCTCCATCACCTCCTTGTTGGCTTTGTAGCGGCGGATCTGGCCCAGGGAGAGGCCTGGCTCAGGTCGTGCAGCGGGCCTTACCCCCCTCCCTCCACGACCCCGAGCTGCCCGTGCTCAGAAGCAAGGCTTCGCGGGACCAGCTGACCCTTGCCCAGCCACGCCCCCTGTGCCCGTGGCCCGCCTTTGTACCTTCTTGAGAGTGGCCACCACGTCCGTGTTCTTCTGGAGGATCTGGGAAGTGACCTGCAGTGTCCCCAGCTCCTCAAGGGCGCTCAGACATCTCTTCACATCCTGGGGGCCGGGGGTGGGAGGAACGTGCCTGCTGAGGGGTGTTCTATGGCCAGGGCAAGACCTGCACCTGGGGAGCCTGCACCCGGAGGACCTGACCCCAGGGGACCTGCCCCCAGGGGACCCATGTGTGGTGCCGCCTGGTGGGGAAGCCCAGAGCTGCCAGGGGCGACAGCGGCCCTGCCCACCCGCCTCACAACAGCCTCAGTTCACTGTGTTCTGCCTGGGACACGGTCTCCTGACACGTCTACACAACACTAGATGAGGTGACAAAGGGGCCACCGACGGTGTGACCCATGGTGGCCTTACTGGGTTGTCCACTTTGAGGGCGAACTTGATCTCACTGTGCAGTTTTTGCAACTTCTCCTCCACGGATGGTTCTGTGGGTGTGAGCAGGGCAGAGCTGGAGGCCGGGGGCTGGTCCAAGGCGGCTGCTGTGCACCACCACGCCCAGCCCTGCCCGCCTCCTGCACACGCACGCACGCCTGGGAACCATGCCGGCACCAGGACCAGCCTCTGACCCTGGCCACCTCCTCCCTTCGACTGGCCCTCACCTTTCTTCTTCTCAACCTTCTTCTCGGGAGTGAAGACCTCAGACCTCTTCCGAGTCCGCTCCACCTTCAGGGGCCTGCAGAGAGCAGTTCACTCAGACAGGCCCCAACAAGGCCTCATCTGCAGCCTGTCCCCACTGAGGGCCCGGAAGGCGGGACGAAGAGGGGTCAAGGCACTGGCCGAGACGGGGGGCCACACCTGAGGGGCGCTTGACGCCCTCTGTCCTTGTGGCTGAGGACCTGGCCATCAGAAAGCCCTGAGATACGCCAGCTCTCCAACTAGTGACCCCAAGGCTCTAGATGATGCCCCACTCATGGCTGTGCCACAGGTCCTGATCTTGGGCAGGGTGGGCATGGTCGCGGCGGGCTGGGATGGGGATGGCACCCCCAAGCTCCCAGACCTAAAGTGTGAGCATCTCAGGGCTGAGGCGGGGCCTCCATCACACCACAGACCTGGTCCTTCCCGGGGAAGGCAAGAAAGAGGACACTGTGGGGAGCTGGGCAGCATCCCTGGTCTCCTCTGGCACCAGCACGCTCACAACAATCACAAATGCCCCCAGGTTTTTGTCAACGTCCCCAAGGAGGGGAGCAACAGTCTCAGTTGGTGAGACTCCGACCTCAGAGAAGGACCCCAGACCTGCTGACCCCTCGACCCAGAATCTTCCACCCAATGTGGTTCCAGTCCTGAACTCAGAACTGGTCTATGTGATGTGAGGGCCCGAAGGAGGTAGAGGACGGGACAGAAAGGTCAAGTGGGGCTGGGAGCCTAGGGCACAGGAGAGAGCGGAGGGCCTGGGGTGCAGAGCAGGGACAAGGTGGGGGGCCTAGGGCACAGGACAGGGAGGGGGGCCTGGGGTGCAGGGCAGGGACAGGATGGGGGGCCTGGGGCGCAGGGCAGGGAGGGCGGCCTGGGGCAGAAGGCATGGAGCGGGGCCCGGGTGTGAGGCAGGGAGGGCGGCCTGGGGCACAGAGCAGGGACGGGATGGGGGGCCTGGGGTGCGGAGCAGGGACGGGGAGGGGTCTGGGGCGCAGGGCAGGGAGGGGGGCCTGGGTGTGAGGCAGGGAGGGCGGCCTGGGGCGCAGGACAGGGACAGCAGGGCTGACCTGGCTCGGGGCTTCTCCTCTGGACGCCCCCTCTTCTCCTTCTGGCTGGGTTTCCTTGCAGACTCTGGAGGCTGCGGCTGGGGCTTCTTAGCAGATTTCTTTGCCTGCAACAGCAGAGAGGTCGTGAAGAGGCCCCCATGCCGGCCTCCCCAGCAGAGCACTTAACCCCTTCTGTGCTCCCTAAACGTGGCAGGAACCGTGCTCCACGGGCCACTCAGGCAGGTCAGCAGGCCTCTCTTCCAAGACACCCCTGGGTTTCTGCTCCTAGCCCGATGCCTCGCTGTCTGTGCACTCAAGGTCTCCCCGTGCTGCGGGTGGGCCGGGGAGGGACGCACCTCCTTGTCCAGGCCGGCCTCGGGTTCCGAGTCGGAGGAGGACGGGGGTGCTCGTGTCCGGCCCCGCCCGCGGCCCCGCTTCCTGGCGGGCTGGTCGTCCCCACGGAGCTCGTCAGCACTGCTGTCGCTGGCGCTGCGGGGGGCGTCCTGCTCGGCCCGCTCCCGCCGCCGCTCCTTCTCCTCCTTCTCCTGCTCCCGCAGCCGCCGCAGCTCCTCCTGCTGCTCCCGCCGCCGCTTCTCCTCCAGCTCCCGCCGCCGCTCCTCATCCCGCCGCTTCCACTCGCTGATGCGGTCCACCTCGTCGCTGTCACTGCGAGTGGGCGGCAGTGGGAGTGAGCCGGGGCCGGCATGCTGCCCAGCTGCCCAGCCTGGGGGCCTCGGGTCACACCCACCTGTCACTGCTGGAGCTGGGCGGGGGCCGCTCAGGCTTGGGCTTCCGGCCGCGGGGCTTCGGGGGAGGCTTCTCGGCTGCGGAAGAGGAGGGGTGACTGCCAAGGCCTAGTGCTGAGGGGCTGGGCAATGGGGGCGCTGGGAGCCCCTACCTGGCTTCCTGCCTCTTGGGGGCTTCTTCACAGGCACGTCCGACTCAGATGAGGAGGAGGAAGAGGAGGATGCAGACGGGGCTGCAGGCACAGGCTCGTTCTTGGCCCCGTCCGAGTCGGCTCTGGAGTCAGATTCGGAGGCCGAGGGCACCTTCTGGGGAGACATCAAGAGGAGGGGAGGGGATGGGCTGGACGGCAGAGAAGCCACTGGCTCCCCATCCCACCGCCAGGGAGCTCTGGTGGCCTAGTGGTTAGAAGCTGCGCTGCAATGCCATCCCACCACCTCAGCATCCCACGTCTCCTCAAGGACCTATCACCCCCCCAAACAGCCCGGAGTGCCCGTGATTCAGCCACGGCCTGGTCCTGACCGAGGGCTTGGCCTGCCTAGGGGGCATGCCCCTCTGTGGAGTGGGCTCCTGGAGGGACAGCGTCATCGCACAAGGAGGTCCCACCAGACGAACCAGCCCCTCTGCGACCCTCAGCTCGTCGCCAGCAGGGGTCAGACGTATGTCCTGCTCACCACCACTGCCGCCCCGGGGTCTCCTCTGTGATGTGGGTGCCTGGGATGTCACACCCCAAAGCCGACTGAAAGCTCCTCTTCCACCTGGTGAAGTGCCCTCTCGGGAACTTGGACCCGGCCACCCCGCTTCCGGAAGGCCCTAGCTCGACCTCGTGGTTGGGACTGGACAAGGCAGCACTCGTGGTTCCCCAGGGGTCAGCATGGAGAAAAGGACAAAGCACCCTACCTTCTTCTTCCGTCCTCCAACAGGGCCACGCCGGGGGGCTCGGGCCACGGGCTTCTTCTCGGGGGTGAAGTCCTGAGTGGAAGGAAGAGGTGGGCATGGAGTGCAAGCTGAGACTAGGCCTTGGCCACACCCCTCCCTGGATGTGCCCACCTGCTCACCTGGTCACTGGTCTTTTCGGACTCGGATGAGCTTTCCGAGTTCTCCTCTTCCGAGGGGGACACGCTGGCTTGGTCCAGGTCACTGGAGCCCTTCCGGGTTCGTTTCGAGGCCAATGCCTGGAAAGGGAGGCTCGGACATGTCAGGAGCAGGAGGTCTGGGCTCCCCCATGACCTCCTCCCACCTCGGCAGGCGGCTTCCTACCCTAACTCACAGGATAGAGCAGGGCAGGGGTTGTTGAGCTTTGCTGGGACAGAGGCCCCAGGAAAGAGTCCGAGGAAAACCAGCAGGAATCCTGCCACAGGCCGACGGCCATGAACACACAACACAGACACACACACAGGAACTTGACAGTGGTGATACAACACACTAGATGTACAACCACCCCAAAAACTATGACTCAAAGCCACTCCATGTGTTTCAGAACAGACACATGCTATCCACAGGGCTTTTAATGGCTGGTTTCCTAGAAGGGGATTGCCCGGCCTTTCTTCCAAGGTGCCTCTAAATTTGAACCACCATTTTGGTCAGTAGCCAAGTGCTTCACCATGGCCACTACCGAGCAAACCCGTAAGACTGAGTGAGGAAAGACACACGTTGCATGTACTCACTGCCAACATGTCACACACACACACACACGCGTGCGTGCTCGTGTGAGGCACGGCGGATCACTGGGGTGCACACAGTATGTCAGAAGCCCCAGGGTCTGAGCTGCCGTCACACACACCATCCCCCACCGTCCCAGGAACGGTGCTGTTCACTCATTTCTTTATTCTGCATCTTCTGACTTGGCCATCACTAACATGGCTTTATATTCATGGGTGCAAGTAAAAGCCAACGTCATTTTAAAAGAGCAGTAAAAACAACACCCTGCTCTACACCAGACAGATGTGCTGGGGCAAGCTGCTTCTTTCCTCCTGCACCCAAATGCTGAGAGACCAAGGTGGGGGACAGAGATTCCAGGGAGCAGGGCACGTGGCCACACACCAAACGTGTCACAAATGCTTACAGGAGCATCCCGGGTAATAGCCATGGGTGGGCCCAGCTCAGATGGCCACATGAACCATGGCCTACCCACACGTGAATATTAAGGAAAATGAATGATAGGAATGAACACAAACGGATGCCTGAAGCACCCACACACGTACTACATGTGGACAAACCTTGAAAACAGGCTCAGGAAAAGAGTCAGGCCCGAAAAACGACATTTTGTAGGATTTCAGGTATAGGAAATATTCCCTACCCCAACTTTTAAAAGCGCGCGCACACACTGCTCCCCTCCCTCAAACCAAAAAGCACTCACCCACTAAAAACTCAAACCACTGACCAAAACACAGAAGCCACACTGTGCGGAGTCAAGTCCGACTCGCAGCAGCCCTGCCTCAGGTTCCTGCAGCTGTGAATCAGCGGGGAGACAAGCTTCTGCCCAGCGGCTGGTGGTTTCGAGTTGCAGGGCTGGGGGAGGGGGCAGGGGGCGCCTGTGCAAAGCGGGCAAGTCTGCAGAAAAGGTGGTGCAGCGGCTACAGCACTTGGACAGCAGTGCCAGTTAAGGGCACCAGCCCATTAGTCCCCCGGTGGGGTGGAGGGAATGTTCTGGAACTAGGTAGCAGAGATGTGTCTACATATTCATCCTGTGACAGGCAGGGTTTTATGGTGCGTAGTGACATGTCGGCGGCGTTCTCTTATTTCTTAAAACAGGGAGGCGGGGTGAGATAGGCTCTGGGGAGACAAGCAGGCCACACGGCCACCCTGCGTCCCACGCCACGGCCACCATACCTTCATCGCCGAGGCCTTCCTCTTCAGGCCGCTGTGGTTGCTGCTCTTGTCGGAGTCCGAGTCACTCTCCATTCTGTCGCTGGTGGCTGTGGTGGTCAAAGTGGTGACGGCCATGACCCCCCGGTCCTCGCCGTCCTCGTCGGCGTCACTCGCGCCCCCGGGGTCGGCACCTGGGGCTTCACTGTCAGAGGAGCTCACGGGCTGAGGAGCAGAAACCCAGTGTCACTGGCAGCTCGCAAACGCAGCACTCAGCAGTGGCGCAGACGGAGACCCCCAGGGAGGGATCAGGTCCCCCACAGGTGCCGCTCCATCCCATCCAGGCCGGGATCCTCGGCAAAGGGCACCACCCTCCTGTGCCTCGGTTTCCACATCCGTCACCCACTGTGTGAGAAGAGGGTTGTGACAGCTCTCCGGCTACCAGGGCTCTGAGTGTGCGCCTCCCAGATGACCAACAATGAGAGTCAGAGGGGTCAGAAAGTTCAAGTTCACCGATGGATGAAGTACCAGCAGAGACAATGCAAGGCAACACCCGATGCTCAGAGCACAACTATGTTTTCAGGAACAGATCACCAGTGCTTTCTTCTGACGCACCTCTGGGTGGTCTGGAACTGGTAGCCTCTGGGCCAGCAGTCAAGTGTGTTATCCATTTGCACCACTATTGAGCTAGAAACAAAATGAAGTCTTGGTACCGGCACCACCCCGGGTGAACCTGGACAGTGAGCTGGACTGAAGCGCCGTCCCAGGCCTGACCCCGGCAGCCCCTCAGCTGTGCTGATGTGCAGAGCGACACAGGACACAGAGTGGGACAGGGCTGCTGGAACCAGTGGTGAGGAGCTGGGGAGACAAGGGGATGAGGAAGGGATGTGGGGTTTCTTTCAGGGTGGGGAGAACTTCTGGAACAATGTTGGGAATACAGTAAAAACCACTGAACTATAAACTTTATAGTGGTCAATCTTCTGTTGTGGGATGTATCTTAAAAAAGGAATTTATAACAATGAATGAATGAAAACCCAAAATCTCTGTAAATGTTCATTAAAACTAATAAAATTTAATAATAATAATAATAATTATTATTATTATTACTCTTTTTAAAAAAAGGAATTTATAAGACCAGCACCAAAAGTCATCTTGTCTTGAGGTAGGGGTCAGGTGGTGCAGTGCCTAGAGAACCCCTCCACTGCTCCTGGGGAGAGAGGTGAAATAAGTGGTCTCAGGAAAAATGACAGCCCCAGACCCGAACGCGGCTTTTCTCTTCAGTCTGTCAGGTCATGCACGGGTCGGAACTCATGAAATATCCAAAATGGGTGACCCTGGAGAACATTAAGCTGAGTGAAATATCTCCGTCACAAAAGGACAAATACTGCATAGTGCCACTGTTGTAAAACAGGACTGACACCGGAGCTGAGGGGAGACTGAGAAAGACGGGTTCAATAATGTATACTGCATTGAAACAGATGAGGGAGAAAACTGTTTAAAAGGGATATGTGATTATAGGTATTATCGTCATGACAGGAGCCCAGAACGAAGGCTACATAATGAATTGGACCTGGGGGTGGGACTGTGTAACAATGAAAGAATTTTACTTTTCAAAGAGAGGAGTGAATTGGGGGGGTGGGGGGATAGGGAGAAAGTGCAACAATAAATGAATGGAAACCCTAAGTCTCTGTAAACTTTAATGAAAATTAATTAAAAAAATAATTTTTTTTTAAAAAAAAGAAACGACGAGGCCAGAGGAACACAGAAGGAACCACTTCAACCTCAACTCCCACCACGCGAGACCAGGAGAATGAGGAGGTGCCTGGCTTCCACCACAGAGCGCTCTGAAAGGGACCCGAGAGATAAGGGCCCTGAGAGATCGGGCCAAAGTGTGGAACAAAACGTCCAACAACAAATGGCCGGCTTGCCAGGCTGGCGCAATTCCCCTGCACCCTGGAACAAACCCCCTGCCCCACGCCTGCAGGCGGCCGTTCACCCCTTCCAAGCGCAGCATCTGCCCGAGAAGGCTCAAGAGGCAGGAGCGTGCAGGGCGGGCGGATGAATGGAGGAAAGAGCCTCACAGTGAAGCGGGAAGAGTGGAACCCACGTCAATTTCAATAAGCCTGGGCAGCTCGGAGAAATCAGACGGCCTGCGGACACCCCAGACCGGTCGTGCAGGCAGCGAGATGGGCAGTTTGGGCCCGAGTCCCAGTAGAGGAAGAGAGGGTCGAGAAGTGGGGACGCATCCGCCCGCTGGTGGCCATCAGTCCCTATGGGCACATGTGGTGGTATGAACTGCCCGGTGGGCCCTGCCAGACTAGAAGCTTGAGTCTTCATTTTGTTTCTGTTAAAGTACACAGCAGCACGCACCCCAAGGTCGAGCAGTTTTTACACAAACGATTTCGTCCCCGTGAGAGTGGGCTTCCCGCTGTGCACCCAGCCCCACATTTTCCAGGCTGTTTCACCCCAGGGACCAGAAACTCACAGTCCCCTGCAGTTCTAATTTTTCAAGTTGCTGTTGTCACTCTGACCCTATAGATCTTGGAAAGTTTAAAGTGCAAGGCAGACATTCTTCACTTGTTAAGCCAAACTGCTATCTGGTGTGTCAAAGACTGCAAGGGCATTTTGGTCCAACGGTTAAAGGTGATCTCCGGCCGGGTTTCAGTGGTATGCCCAGCGTCTGTGGCTCCAAAAGGCTACAGCCCATAACTCCCTGAAATTCTGTTTTGCACCACTCCCCCGTTGATCAGGATTTCCTACAGCAGCTTTGAATGCCATGTTCACCACCTAGTTCTGGTCTCAGGGCTCTGGAGGTGTGCTCTGGAGGGCAGCTTGCAAACTGTTAAAGACTCCAAGCAGAGCACATCAAACCAGGAGGCCGACCTGGGCTTCCGACTTGTTCACAAAACCTGCGCTCTTACCCCTCCAAAAAGCCACCCCGCCACCCCACTGTCAGCTTCGGAGCCTCTCAGGCAACAGATCAGAATCCGTAACAGTTGAAACGCCCATCTTTGGCCGGAGAAGCAGAGGGTGGATCTGGGCTGCCGGGCAGACACCTTATTTCCAGATCAGGTATACACACACAGTCAGGACCTCCAGGGCAGCCCCAGGTGATTCTGATGACATTAGACAGTATTTATGATAACCACCTGGGGTTCCGAGTCAGCCGACCTGAGATGCGGAGTCCTGCTGGAACAGCACTTAAACACTTGGCTGTTAGCGTAAAAGTCAGAGGTTCAAATCCCTCGGCCACTGTGCAAAGTCCACTTCAGTAAAAGCTCGCGGCCTCAGGAAGCCTCATGGGCAGGTCCACTCGGTCCTCTGCTGTCTCAACGGGTCAGAATAGACTCAGCGGCCAAGAACGGGGTTGATGGACAGCCAGAGTGAAAAGGCAAATTCTCACAGGGAAACTGGAAGAAACTGGCTCAAAGTGCTGGCTGGAACAAAAAACTAACTACAATTAGCCCAATTAACTAGAATGCCTCCTGAAACCAAGACTCAAAACCTACAAACCAAGAAATAAAATCCCAGGAAAAGCTTCTGCGGCCACACCCCGCCCCCGCTGCCTCTCTAGATTTGGGTTTGGTCATTTACTACAAACCTCAGTGGGCATGGATTGGCAGGCCTTTCTTCTGTATCACTGCTGGGTGGGTCTGACCATTGGCCTTTAGGTTGGCAGCCAAGCATGAACCGCCTGCACCAGCTGGGACCTTAAGGTGGACGAGAAAGACGGTGTCTGGTGTCCACCCTTGTCCCTCGCTCTCCACCTCCACCGCCAATGCTGACCAAGTGGGGGCCAGGGCAGGGGGCTCTGCGTGCCTCTTCTCACGGACTGTTCCAGTGAGGGGAAGAGTCACTGTCTGGTTTGGTGGGGGGGGGTGGAAACTGAGGCTTAGAGAGAGAACGTCAACCTTATGAGATCAAGTGGGCAGCATTTTTAGCAGTGCTAACACTCAGGAGACAGAAAGGCACAGGATGGGGGAGAAGTGGAAATAAGAACCGCGAAGAGACAGTAACAGGAGACTTCGATACACCCTTACTGCAGAAGGACCCACAACTGGAGAGAAACTCAAAGAGGCAGGAAAACAAAACAATCACCAGCTGGAACCTGAAGATATCTGCAATGCACAACGCCACACAGGCACGTGGGACAGTCTTCACAACAGACCACAGGTTAGGTCACAGAGCAACAGCGTCACCAGATTAAAAAAACAAATCCAAAGCACCTTCTCAGATCACAACGCTCTGAAACTGGAAATCCACAAAAGGGAGGTCAAGCGACAAAATAAAGCCCGCGGAAGGTGGCCAGCGCCCTGCTTGAGCGCACGGGGGATCTCACAACACTCACTGCTATCGAGCTGCAACTGACTCGCAGGTGACCCTCCAGGGGGTTTCTGGATGGATTCAGACCACCAGGGCGAGGTGACCGGAGCCACTCCTGAGGCCACCACAGTCCCTAATGGGTAATGTTGTCGTTAGGTGTTAGCAAGTCGAGGATAAGTTATAGCGACCCTGGGAATGGACCCGAACCCCGTCCTATCCGGTGCCACCCTCACTAGCTGACCAACATGAGCCCACTGCAGCAGTCGCTGTGTCAATTCATGTGGTAGAGGGTCTTCCTCCCTCTTGTCGCTCCTTCCCCTTTCCAAGCATGATGTCACTCTCCGAGCAACAGCCTCTCCTGACAACATGCCCGAAGTACGGGAAACAGAGCTTTGTCCTAATTGCTCCAAGGAGCACTCGGGATGTACTTCCTCTAAGACACAACAGTTCTTTTGGCAATCCATGGGATACTCACTACTCCGCTCCAATACCACAAATCAAAGGTATTCATTCTCTCGTCATCCTTATTCATTGTCCAGCTCTCAGATGCACAGTAAGTGACTGAAAAGACCACGGCCTGAATCAAGCACACCTTAGTCTTCAGACTGGCATCATCGCTCCTGAGTGATTTGAAGAGACGTCTGAGTGCAGACTTTCCCTATTCAGTATGTTGCCTAATTTCCTGACTGCTAGGACCAAGTACGCAAACTGGGGATCCAAGTAAGATGACGTTGCTGACAATTTCAATCTTTTGTCCATCTGTCATGATCTTGTGTGCCAGTCCAGTGGTGAGGATTTTTTTTTTAATTATATTTTATTAATTTTCATAAACA